CAGTAACAATTTGCTTGTTCATGAATATCTTAACATGTTGTCTATACTAAACTTGACCTCACTTGTGAATATTCCAACTAGAGTGCATGGCGCCTCTCGTACTTGTATTGACCACATTTTTTTAAAAAATAAACAAGAAAATGATAATTATAAAGTCTTACGTAATAAAATCAGATATTACTGATCACTATAGTACAGTATCAACTCTACCCCTCAACCTTGCAGAGATTTTGTACATACTAACCCTAATAAAGCGAAGTATAAAGAATATATAGACTATGAAAAATTAATAATAGGCTTAAAATCTGAAATCTGGAACAACTTATATAATATAAGAAATGTCCACGCAGCAAATAAATATCTGACTACATCAATCACTGAAAGTATATAAAAAAATACCAAGAAAATTAAAATAAATCGTACAGACCGTCCAAGAAAAAACTGGGTAACTGCTTGACTAATTAAATCTATCAATGAAAAAAACAAGAAATATAAATTATATAAGACAGATCCAAGAGACGAAACAAAACAAAATTATTTGTACTATAAGTGACATATAAATCCGAACACCCAGTTTAAATGGTTTTATTTTAATAAAATTTTGTATAAGTACTTAATGAAGCATAATAAGTAAATGATAAAAATTTCAAAATGATTGCACTGCTTTAAAGCCCTTTGACCTTTAATAATGTGTGGATGCACCCTGATGTGCTACGCATTCTCCAACGCGCCTAGGCATTCTTCTGATCAGGTGGTCAATGTCCTCCTGTGGTATCTCATTCCAGGCAACCACCAACTCCTCTCGAAGTGCTTCTAGAGTCTGAGGAGGACGTTGCAAATTGAGCAATCTCCTACCCATCATATCCCACACGTGCTCAATTGGGGATAAGTCGGGAGATCTTGGTGGCCATGGTAACAATGTGACATCATCATGTTGAAAGAAGTCTATTGTGACTCTTGCAAAATGTGGTCGGGCATTATCTTGTTGGAAAGTTGGATCTGCCAGGGTGTCAAGATAGGGTAAAAGATGGGGTTCTAGAACTTCGTGGATATAACGCTGCGCGTTCATGTTACCTCTGATGAAGATTAAAGGTGACCTGGAACCATAAGCTATAGCACCCCAAACCATAACTCCAACAGTGTGATGAACATGTCTTTCAACAAAAAACTGTGGATTCCTCCTTTCACCACGTCGCCTTCTAACCCTGGCACGACCATCGTGCATGCCTAAACAAAATCGAGACTCGTCACTAAAGACAATACTGTTCCATTCCTGATCCCAGAGTGACCGTTGTCTGCACCACTCAAGGCGATTACGTCGGTGTTCTCGAGTTAAAGGGAGGACCCGTGTGGCCGGTATGAAAACAAGCCAAAACTTCGTCGGTAAACACTTCGCATGCCAATAGGTCTTCCGTGTTCTGCAAACCATTCATTTGCAATGGACCTGGTAGTGGAGAAACGGTCCCTTAAAGCCAATAATCTTAGACGGCGATCTTCACGGTCTGTTGTTCTACGGCGGCGTCCAGTGCCCCTTGCTCCTTACGTACGGCCTTCTCGAAGTCATGCCTGACAACACCTAACCATAGTGTCTACACTTTTTTGCACTCTAACTGCAATTGCCCGAAAAGAAAGTCCAGCTTCCCGAAGTCCCACTATACGGCCCCTATCAAACTCAATAAGTTGACGAAATCGTACAGGTCTCCGTACTCTAGGCATCGTAACCGATCGTAAAGGATGTCAAGAACCAAAATCCGCCAACGTTGATTCTTTACTGCGGCTGAAATATTCATTTTTAGAGCGTTAGTGAATTAAAAAAAGCAGTATAAAAACCATTTAAACTGGGTGTTCGGATTTATATGTCACTTAGTATATAAAACTAAACTCTGTCAATTGATCAACATTTCAAAACAAAAATATTACACAGAAAAACTACAAAACAACAGATCCGACTCAAAAATGCTATGGAATACCATAAATCAGATCTGTAATTCATCCAAACCTGAAACAAAAATTGAAGAAATAAACGTCCATGATGACTTAACACAAGTAAAGATATTGCTGATGCATTCAATAATTACTTTATAGAAATAGGGAAAACACAAATGCCATACACAGTTTGAAAAACAAAAAAAAGTCCAGGTCTTGATGGTATACGATCAGAAATATTGAAGAGGATTTCATCCGAAATTAATAAGCCCTTAACGTGCATAGTAAACTTGATAATTGAATCGGGAGAATTTCCAGATGATTATAAAGTAGGAGTAGTAAAGCCCATCCACAAATCCGGTGAAAAAACATATACTAACAATTACAGGCCTATAACTCTAATATCCAACTTTGCAAAAATTATTGAGAAAGTTATAAAAACACGACTTCTAAATTTTTTTGATAACCATAATCTGATTAATGAAAACCAATTTGGATTCCAGAAAAACAAGTCTACCCAAGACGGAATTTCTTTTTTGACATCAAAAATATACAAATTACTGGACCAAAGTGAATATACCTTGTGTGTGTGTTTAGATCTAGCCAAAGCATTCGACACAGTAGACCACTTGCTACTATTAGAAATTTTACACGACTCAGGAATTAGAGGCAAGGTTTATAACCTCATGACAAGTTACCTTTCCAACAGAACACAGTGCGTACAAAGAAATAATTCCTTAAGCACAAACAAATTCATATCGTACGGTGTCTCACAAGGCACAGTGTTAGGCCCCTTATTATTTATACTTTACATTAATAGCCTACTGAGCTTAAAATCTGAAGCGACAATCATATGTTTTGCAGACGATACTAATATCATTTATTCGGATAACAACTCGTGGGATGATCTAAAAGTGAAGGTTGAAAGAGACTTAACGATAATTGCAGACTGGTTCAGACATAAAAGCCTAACTATTAACTTTTAAAAGACTATGGTCATGCCATTCACAAATCACAGAAACAAATTACCATCCTTTGCATCTATACTGATTAACTGTGATAATATAAATTTAACAAACAAAATAAAATATTTAGGTGTATATTTAGACTCGCATTTAAAATGGAATATATACATATTGATCATATGATAAAAAATTTGAGACCATTATTGTATAAATTCAAGTATCTAAACAAATATTTGGATAAAAGAATAATGAAAATTTTATATCATGCTATGATCGAAAGTCGTATAAGTTCCGCAATATTAGGTTGGGGTGGAGCACTTGATAACCAAATTAATAAATTAGAAATTATCCAAAAACAATTTTTAAAAATAATCTTCAACAAACCATTCTTATACCCATCTGATCTGTTGTATTCTGAAGCAAAACTATTGGACCCTAGGCAACAATTTTTTTATAAAATTATAAATTATCAATTTCACGATAGAAATAACCTTATTCCGTTAGACTTATATCAAACTAGAAACAAAATCAACAACATTAAGCGAACACCTTTCACCTCAAAAAGTATAGGCCAAAGATGTCATAATTACCTTTCCAGTAGATTATATAACATATTACCAAATTATATAAGAAATATTTCAAATAAAACAAAATTCAAAATTGAAACCAAAAAATTTATAATTGAAAGAAATCGATATCAAATTGCAAACCTGATACGTATGAAAGAAATTTAAAATTAATGTAATAGTAAAAACCCTCCAACGTTCATATACTCGTATATGTGTGTATCTATTTATGTGTTTATTTGTATGAATATATATGTATATATGTACTCGTATATATGTGTATATTTGTATATGTGTATAGGTGTATACGCGTGTGTGTGTATATACGTGTGTATATGTATATTTATATAAAAATTTAAGTTAATACCCACGCACAAGAATTTATTCTTCTGTGGGTAAATTCAGTTTATTCACGTATACCTATGTAAGTTTTAGTTATATTTGTATGTTACGTGAATAAACTTATTATTATTATAATTATTATTATTTATGTAGCCTTATAGCTAAAAAACACATTTTTGACGTTCACGTGTCCGAAGAAGATGGGAACTACGTGACCTTATAGCTACTAGTGAAAGCAACACTTTCTTGTAATTTCCAGCATGAACTTTTATTCAGGCTGGATGATAAATGCAAAAAACTACATTTTTGATGTTCAAATGTTGAGACCAACTTCTTCGACGGGCCTAAAAAAGATGGATCCTAAGTGGCCTTATCCCTACTCACTGTTAGCCTATAATATTTTTTCTGGCTTCACACTTCAATTATTTTTAACCTGTAATTTCTTCTTGAATGCTGGGTGATGCAAAAACTCTGCCTTATCGATATTCTGAGCGAACAAACCACCCCTACGTCAGGCAGGAAGTAAATAATGACATGTCTTCTATGCCTCCATATAAACGATGTACTTTATTGATTTTCATTTTGTAACATTACCGTTAGCTCCTTCGAAAGTCCGCATACCACTATCTAAATATTTTTACTTCCCAGACTTACTGGCGAAAAAGTATTGTACCGGACCAGGAGAGGACGAATAAGCTAGGTAGCATTTAAAAATCGGTCCAGTGGCGGCGGCATAAGGGCAAACAGTGAACAAAATGACACTCACCAAAACTGTTTTTCTTGTTTGTGTCTGATAATTTTCAGAAAAAAATTGTATGGCTGGGGGTTCTAGGGGGTGGGGAAGGATATCATTCATTTTATATACATAATAAGTACATATTTTACACATGTATAGTATATTATAGTATAAATTTTCCCTTGCATTTGCCTTTAAAACTTAGAAATACTTGCTGACGGGACACGCGGTTGGTCGGAACCTTCATGCTACTGACTGTCTGCGGTTGACTTCATCGCCCGCGCTCTCGATCTGGAGTTATAGTGTCCTGGCTGGCGCTGGCATGGTTGACTGACTGGTGTGCTTCAGCGCCGTTGCCAGATGGTCCATACTTAGGGCAGGGAATAATAATAAAATGGAGCATGGTCTTTCAGGGTCCACCCACCTTAGCTTAGACAAAATATTACATATATAATTTTGTTCTAGGGCAACCTGATGATCGTATTGATGGAAACAGTAGTGGACGAATCGGCCTTCGACCCGTACACCTTTCCAGAACTGAAGAAGATCTCCGGTTATTTGTTGTTTTTCCGAATCCGGAAGTTGACTTCGGTCGCGAAACTTTTTCCGAACTTGAGAGTGATCGGTGGCAGTGATACAATTTTGGATTATTCGCTTATTATTTACGACATGCCGGATATCAAAGAGGTAAGTCTATTTATTTTGTATAACTCTATTGTAGCATGGTGACAGTGACATAAAATTTATTTACTTAATCAACGGCTAAAGCCCTTACCACAAATACGAAAACAGTATTTCAATTACGTTATTTAAATACTTAACAGCCGTTCCAAAATCTTCTAAAGATATATTCATACGGGCGCCCGCACTGGGGTCCTAGGGGGGCCGGTTAGACTGCACATTTGCATATTCAATATCGTTTTGTGTACAATTTTCGGGATTTTCTCTCGATATTCATCATATTTCAAAATGAATTTATAAATAATCGATAAACAACCGATTACCGATTATCGGGTTGTATGCCCTACTTAAAAACAGTAGTTGTAGTAGCAGTAGTGTTTGTGCTCATCTGAATGTTTGCTAAATGGGTATATGTTACTTTTCATGTAGCAGAGGCACTGAAATATACAGCGAAATTCAAATATCACCGACGAGGTCATGTGTATGACAGAGGAGCGCGAGAAGCGTGCAGTACGTATGTTAGACCCGTCACTCGGATTGATAAGCAACGTGATGCCTCTAACTCTTTCTAACAAACGTATTGGACGCTTCTTACGTTTATCTCTCGTACACATTACGACGTCAGTGATAAATGGATTTCTCTGTAGACGCAAGGAAGCATAAGGATAGTGCAAAAATTATCTTGACATGCCAGAAGTGTCCCCAGAATAACAGGGTTGGCCCAAATATGGAACCCTGATGTACTCCATACGTTATCAACTGTTTATTTATATTCTTATTGCACGAAACATACTGATATCATTACTAATGTAGCTCTTCGTGGTTGTATGCAATTTGCAACGAAGCCATAAGCAATTATCTTTTGTATTAAAAGCTGTGGCAAAGTCGTAGAAAACTGCATTTTTTATTTTACCTTCCTTAAAGCCCCTGTCAATATGTTCTGCGAGATCCATTAGATCGATTGTAGATTTTTCAGACCGAATTCCATGTTGACTTTCACAAGAAAGATTATGTGTTTCAAGACACGCGGTAATTTGCTTGTTTAAGACAGATTCGAATATTTTTGTTAAAATAGGTAACAGTGCAATGGGGCGATAATCAGATATTTAATCCAGTGACCGTTTTTTGTAGATTGGTATGATCATAGATATTTAAAAAAAAAATAGGGAATACTCCATGCTATATATACGAGTATATACAGGGTGACTTCGAAGTTGAGTCATTCATTTTAACAGTGAGTAGATCTGATCAAAATAAATGTTTTTTTCCTTTATCATTTTTGTGGTAAAATTAAAGTAACAAAGTTATAGCCCTTTAGAAGTTTGAGTACCGCCCTGTCTCAATAATAATATTATGTGCTCGTGTTTGGCAACAACGGATATCATCCGCCTTATCGGTTCATCCCATCGGAAACAAAAAAGCGAAAGAATTTGAAACGCTGATCACGATGTTTTTATTCAGTCAATGTGTCAGTCGGTAAAGCGTGAGTGAATAGTGGTGTTTGCTGCGTGGCTCAAACGAAATAAAAAATGGCACATGTTTATACGGATTGGTTTCCCAAACGAGTGCAACCAACCCCTCGTGCCTTTGTTAATGTAGTACAACGGGCTCGTGAATCAGGTGACTTAAGACCTCACAGGAGAGGGCATGCCGGTGCTCCAAGACCTCACGATCAAATACAGGTCCGCACTGAAATACTTGTTGGGAGGATACTTTATAAAACAAGGTAAGTTTTTTTTATTTTTTTTTATTTTTACACACATATTTTGGTTTATCTTCCTTCTACAATCATTATCTGAAAATTAATGACTCAACTTCAAAGTCACCCTGTATATATATGTATATATATATATATACATCACATCTCAAGTTATATGTATATATATATATGGGTGAATATCAGTTATTGGGGAATTCAATGTTCCTGCAAAAAAATCTTAATCCATTGGACAAATTGTGGAAATAGACCATTCAAATAGTGGAAGATGTCAATCTTTATTTGGAACATATGGCGAAATTGAGGTAACCATTAAGATTTAGGAAAAATCTGATTGAAAGTTAACAAAATGTATACTCCCCTGGCATGTTCCATTTCCAAATTTCACTACAAACATCAACAAATCTCTGTATTATGTACTGGTATAACAATAAGCGGATACTCTTTGTATTACCTAATACAACTGATAACATATTTTCGCAAAAAGGCACACTAAAAATATACATAAATGCGTAAAAAATCCCGTTTATTAGTGGTTCCTGAGAACAGTGTCACCCTCACCTGGCGCAATTCAAATTGCATATATTCATCAAAATATGGCAACTATGCGACTTGAAGTTGAGCAGCAAGTAGCAAATGAAGAAGGGATAGTGCGAAACTATCGTAATTTGGAAAACGAAGACCAGGGACGCGTCAGTAGCCCACTAACAGTCGTCCGATACCCTTTTGCCAGTGAGTGAAGTATTTCCCCTGGTAAGCATATCTTTGTGAATTTAAAAGTTACATTTTGCGACTTTATAAAAAATTAAGATTTTTGAATACAAAAGCCATGAATCACGTTAAAATAATATAATAATCATGATATCTTGCTTTTTGGGGGCTTACGCACGTTTTTGTCACTTCCCTGGCGTCACTCCCCTGGCAGTTTTTATGTCAGGGGAAATACACACTGCCCAGGGGAAATACAAAGGCACCTTTTTGTATAAGATGTGTAGCTACTATACCAAATTCAACTTCAAGAGGCAGTAGATCTGAAATAGGTGAGACGGCCTAGGGCCGTTTTCAGTGCTCAAACGCTCATTGTCAGTGTTCATACCAATCTGTTACATCAATCAGCGGGCTGCACCTAAGAAGTTGCCTGGCCCAGTTTACGGCTCTGAGCGGCCTGCTTTGTGCTCTTGAAGTTGAATGTGGTATAGACACTATTTCATTAATTTCAGATACCAAAAAAACCATAACTCGCTAAAATGGCAAAATTATAAAAAAGCAAACCCGAGAGGAAAGATTGGAGAAAAAACGCCAAGCAGAAAGACCAAGCGACCAGCGAATTAAAAATGATCCAATCAAGAATGCTGAGTTAAAAGAAAAAGTATCACAGAAAGAAGGAGAAAGTACAAGTTAAAAGTATAAAAGATCTGACAGATAGGGATGAGAAAGATATGGAGAGAGCAAACTGAAAGATATAGGGATCGTGTGAGGCAAAAAACTATTGTTAATTATCCAGAGTCACCGCCGCCTTCGGACCATGAAGATCCACACTTCGATCCTCAAATATTGGACAATAGAGCTTCAGGTGCCAAAAGACCCCCAGAAAAACAGAGGAAACGGATAAATGAGCTTATCAAAAAACAAAAAAACGATATTGATCGATTAAAAAACAAGGTGAAGAGATTTCAAAGGAAACTAGATCACGTAAGAAGTCTAAAAATGTCACCAAAGTCGAAAGTGGACCGATTACTAAAAAAAAAACGAAACCAAGTAATCAGGAGAACGTGGAAGAAGTTAAAAAGCATCTGTCCTTCAGTAAGGTAGTTCAAAATCAACTAAAAGAAAATATAAGGCATACCAAAAAGAAAAATGAGAAGACACTGTTTCGTAAAGTATTGAGTGGTACGTTTGTTAGAAATTACAATGTTTTAAGTCAAATTGATATGAAGCCTGTGAAGCGATAACCCACTGTGGGAGAGGTTTGATAGAGGTGACAAGGAGAACAAGAATGAATGAAACTAGAGAGAAGATAAAGAACGTAATTAAAAATTTTTTGAAGGAGACTGCAACAGTCGCTTATGCGCAGGAAAAAATTACTACATTACGAAAAACAAAGTAAAAAACAAAAGAGGGTTTTACTAGACTCAATGAAGCATTTACACGCACGGTTCGTTAAAACCAAAGGAGTGCCGATAAGGTATACTTCATTTTAACGTTTGAGACCTTTTTGGATTGTATATCCAAATGTTCATAGAAGAGAAACATGCTTGTGTGTAATTCATGCAAATATGCAGTTGATTTTGCTCTCTTTAAGAATAACGAAAATTATAGGCTTTATGAGTTTTCAAGCAATGCTAAATTACTTATGTTTCTATCGCATGACATTTCCGACATAAAGTTGGAAAAGTATTAGAGAGACTGCCGGTGCCAAATATAGTAATGAGAGGAGATAGATTATTTTATAAATTCAGAACTCCTATACCTACCTGTATTCGAAAAATGAGTATCTACTCGAATTCATAAAAAATCGGGTTATACCTATGTTAATTTTATTTTTATGCTAGCTACAATTTTTTATTTATAAGCACTGATTGCGATTCAAAGACTGACCATAAGTATTATGTCAATTTTTTGTTTTAAGATTTTATAATTTTATTTCTATTATTATTATTATTATTATTATTATTATTATTATTACTCAGGTAACTGCATTGCTACCTATATTAAGTTGCAAGATATAAACAGCTATTGTGGTTTCTATTTATATTAGTTCTTGTGTGAGCAGGGTTCACTCAGTTGATCCAAATGTTATTTTTTAAGAGACTATTAGAACATGTAGGATTTTGTTATTTTCAATAAAAATTTATTGAACTTATTTACCTATTGGTATTTATATTCTTTTATAAAGTGTCCTCTAAGATCATTCACATGAGAAGTTGTCACTCTTCTGTCTCAGTTTGTCACTACCCTGTGTATAGTGTCACTCCCCTGACTACACATTTTCCCCTGGTAGCTGTAAAATCTCTAAAAATCAAAAAACTATCTGGTCCTGTCAAAGATGCATCACAAATAGTATAATCTTAAGAGGTAATGAATATGAAACTGAAATGAGTAATTTTTCTTAGGTACCACTAAAAACCCAAATACCTGATATTCACCCATATATATATATAGATTGATCAGCTTAATAAATAGTAATAAGAATTATGTTTTTTAGCCGTTCTATAATTTTGACGTTTATATCATAATATGTATCTTTACTAGACCTATTTTTTAGGTTGTCTATGATAGCTCCTACTTTTTTTTATGCTCCAACTACCACGAAGGCCTAAGGCCTAAATACTCATGGGGTACCATGGAGCTATAGGGGGATACACGGGAAAGGGGGGACGTCACACCGGATGGTACCTCCGCGTTTGACAGTCAGTGACTGTTCACCTCCTACGGACGACCAGAACATCCGTAACCAAGAGGTAAAAATCTCTTGGGACGGGATCGAACCCCGCAGCGCACGGCGACAGATTAGGAGACCGTAGCGTCTACCACTACGCCACCGCTGGTGCCTGCTGCATTAAAAATTATTAGGAGTGAGGTAGCTCAGGAGATCAATATTTGTTTCTTCCATGCCTTTTATTATTTTGTCCGGTATGTTTATAATGAAATTATTAGGTTCGTTAGGATCAAGTTTGAATGGCTTTTGAGCTTGTCTATTTTATATTGTTTATTTATTTTCATTTCTATTTATCCTGGGACATTATTGTTCATTCATCTACCATATATAAATAAACCACTTGCTTATGGCTGTTACTTTAATGTCATACCTTACCATCCTTGAATGACAAACAATTGACTGTATACATTTTCGATCAACTCAGGAGTTCTTTGGATAAACATTTTCCCGGAACGTTATAATTGCCGAGATTCCACACACTGACCTGTTCTTTGGGTAGGTTACGGATTATGTATCATACGCCACAGTTGACATATCTAGTTGTCCGTGACAAATGACTGGTTTCAAGCGTACTGTATTCGCCACAGCAGTTTCCTGTCAGCCTTTATATAGGGCAATCAATAGCCCTTGTCTGATAACGGTATGGCCAATAGGTACAGTGGCAGTGTGGGAGGTACATCATTACTAGGGGCCTTCTATGGTGGCCGGGATGCCTCTAAAATTTTTTTTTTAAGATTCATTCAGGGGCCTTCTAAGTGATCTTCGTACCTTAAAATCAATTTCGATGTCTTTTTGCCTATAATTCGTCATATTCATAAATTATCCACCTTTGATTAACAAATATTTTTTGATGAATTTCGCAATGCCCATTATACGCACATCAGACGTTCAACAGAATATTTGTGAAAATTTTTGTATTCCGAAAACACATTTTTGAATTATTCATTCACCATTTGCAGCACGTACAGAATATTGAATATGAAAATATGTTTTCACTTGGGCATGCCGGTCTCTTCCCGGCATACTCCTGATGACATCACGCGTTTGTTGTTAGATTAAAGAGTAGTTATATCAATAAAATACACTTCCTAGAATGTCTTTTTAATCCGCCGGTCTTCTGCATTATAGCAGGGAAGCCGTTATGTAAACGGTCAAAATTAAGTTTGATTAACAAGATTCGACTCTATAAGGTGGTCATAAGACCAGCAATGACTTAAGCATGTGCGGCTTGGTGTTTTATTGCTAAAACACACATGCGAAGTCTGCAGGTTCTGCAAAGCAGGACGTTGCGCACTATTGCTGATGCCCCATGGTATGTCTCTAACGAAACTACATAGAGACCTCGATGTCCCTTACCTAAAGGACTACATTAAGCAACAGGCGCAGCGGCGCTATAGCCTAGCGGAATCGCACAGCAACCCTCTGTTGCGTGAGTCAGTGGACTACACAGTCGAGCAAGTTCGCAAGCACAAAAGGCCGCGGCTCGCACTGTAATCAAAATTAACTCGTGAACTTAGAACAACCAAAATTGGAGCATTTTTACACAATCTTCAGAAAAAATCAAATATTTTTAGACCATATCAAAATCTGTGAAGCGTTTTTAACAATGCCTAAACGCTGCCTATCCTAAAAGATTCTCTTCTTCCCCTTTGCTCTCGTTCTTCCTGCTCTCCTTTCCTTCCCCTTTTTTCCTTAAAATTGTCTGGTTTCTGGGTTACCAGACCTGACAGACTTACAAACTGACACTGTGACTCAAGAGCTAAGGTCCCACGGACGGCTCTGACAACCAACGATGACTTGAGCAGGGAAGCCGATGGCAAATTTGTTTCATTATCGCGTACTGATATGATACGTCAAAAAGTATTCAAAATACGTAAGACTTGACTAATTTTTAATATTATATTCGACTTCGAAGTTGAGTCATTTATTTTAATAGTGAGTAGATCTGATCAAAAGAAATGTTTTTTTCCTTTACCATTTTTCTGATAAAATTAAAGTAACAAAGTTATAGCCCTTTGGAAGTTTGAGTACCGCCCTGTCTCAATAATAATATTATGTGCTCGTGTTTGGCGACAACGGATATAATCCGCCGTATCGGTTCATCGCATCGGAAACAAAAAAGCGAAAGAATTTGGAACGATGTTTTTACAATTATTTTATTCATTTGTATACAGTCAGTGTCAGTGAATAGTGGTATGTGTTGCGTGGCTCAAACGAAATAAAAAATGGCACATGTTTATGCGGATCGGTTTCCCAATCGAATGCAACCAACCCCTCGTGCCTTTGTTAATGTAGTACAACGGGCTCGTGAATCAGGTGACGGCAGGATACGGGAGGATACTTTATAAAACAAGGTACATTTTTTTTTTATTTTTTTTTTATTTTTACACACATATTTTGGTTTATCTTCCTTCTACAATCATTATCTGAAAATTAATGACTCTTCTTCAAAGTCACCCTGTATAATCAGTACGCGATGTAACTAAACCTTGCGGTCGGCTCTTGGTCTATTACTGGATTACAAATAAACATAAATATATCGATATGTGCCGACCGTCCTTAATTTGGCGACTGGCTGATAGATGGCTCTGCATGTACCAAGGCGGTGTTGTCAAAATTCCATAAAATGTGAAGAAAACGCTATGTTTATTCTGAGTTTAACAGAGTTCAGATCTTTTCAGGGTTTTTTGTGGTTTGGCCAAAAAGTCATACTAAATAAGTAAATCATAACATCTCAAGGCCAGGCTATCTAAATGACTGACAACCATGTCACATAGACCGACGATTGGTCAAATACCTAAGCAGGTTGAACTTAAAAAACTTTTCAATTCCAAGCTGGTCCGTTAATAAACTAAATAATATTCCCCTTAGGACCCTAACTTACATGTTTTGAGAATAACTCATTTCGCGGAAAGAGCGATTTATAACTTTATTTAATGAAAAATATATTCCGTAGCCGGCCATGTATGAAAGTCCAAACAAAAATCAATTTTAACAAAAAATGCCTTCACTGCAAGTGATGATCAATGAATTCATCAAAAAACGATTACCTACCTGGCAACACCGTATATATCTAAATTCGAACAGCACGTGTTCAGGCGCCATCAGCTGTTTTGTTGCTTTTTCTAAGTGTCCTCCCTCCATATAACTACTCTTAGGTTAGACCTTGTATATTTCGATGGTAACGCATTTCTGTCTCAAAATCGTACTTTCACTTCTTCCTCGATCATCCTACTCTTGGTTGCTATATCATTTTAGTCATTGTCCCGTTATCGTTCTCATTACCGTCAACAGGCGTTTATAGACCAGGATATTTAGAATATCAGTAACAAATGTATAGATCGATATCAGAACAGAATTACATCCTTGGGAGTAACTGAAAAGCCTTTCCTCATCCAGAGATAAACAATATGCTGCTGAGCAATTTTTACCTTTTACTTGCGAGAAACCATTGTAATTGCGAAAACTGTGTGGGTCTTGTATGACATGTAGGGGAGAGTCTGGAACAGTGGCCATACTTTGAAAGAATTTTCGCTCTCTAGGAGATTTAATTGTTTTCGGCAAATTTATAGTTCTTACATCAACGATACACTATTTGGCTTTATTTCTATATACTTAAAAAATAACACAAACACCTATTAGTATTTTATTTTTAATTATAAAAAAAGTGCTGTAAAGTGGCCAGTGTACCTTCATTGCAGGTACAGTGGTCACCCACCTATGGTACTGTGGCCACTCCTCTGTAAACAATTAGATTTAAGTAAACCAAATCTGAAAAGAGTGGATTTATTTATTCCAAAAATTATGTTATATAAAACTTCTAAAAGCTACAACAGAAAAATGTATCAAAACCTCGACTTAACTTAAAATACGTTATACATTGACAGGTTAATCGAAAATGAGAATACATTTGCACTTCTTGCCGTACATCCGATTGCACTGGGATACGGTAAATGGAGTATAATATCATCCATTGAAACTACACCAGTGTCTGGAATATTCGGATAAACAAAATTATTGCCACGTCGACGTAGAAATGTTTTTACATTCGTCAGTGCTCTCCATCACTTCTATGACGGAGCCAACATAGTAACGGATTGTCTTTTTTGACTCAAATCTAACCAGAACAAAGGAACCCACACCGATGTCCCCAATATCGTTAAGGGTGACTTCTTTATCTGACTCTTGTACAAAGCTCACATCATCTGAGTCAGTTAAGCTCAAATCTAGGTCGCTTTCGCTAGATGTGTCATCTTTTTTATGCAACTTCCTTTGTTTTGCTGCTGGTACAACAATCTCTTCACTTACAATTTTTTTCTTTACAAGCGGCTGCCTCTCAAGGTTGGACATTCGACTTTGTTTTAATTGTTGTTCTTCTTCTAGTTTTTGCAGAATAGGGGTGCTTGTTAAAATTTCGGTTTTCTTTTTTTTCGAATGTTTTTTAAGCGGAGCTGCGGGGAGAGCTGTGGGAAGTGGCTTCACATTATATGGACTAACAAATTTCTTTTCCGGAGTCCTATTTTCCTTGATTTGGGATATTGATGGTCTATTGTTGTCTTCTAGAACAGCCATTGGAGGGACTTCAGCTTGTTGCTCTACATGTAAATCTGTTACAGATGCTGCCATGAAATCTTGCTCATTAAATATGTTATTATTAAATGGATATATTCCGGTTGCCCTAAATCCTGATATGCAATTTTTTGGTGTAAAAGCTAATGGGTAAGATTCACCTAGGATTTCGGCAACTTCGTAAATAGTTATTCTTTTGCCAGGGTTGTTCAGTAACCAATTTTGACAGTTCCGATTATAATAATTTTTCAATGCGAAATAAATACTTTTGTCTAGCGGCTGCAGTTTGTGGCTGCAGTGTGGTGGTAAGGTCAAAAGTATAGCATTATTTTGTTTCGCCATCTTTATAGTATCCAAACATATATGGGTCTCATGGTTATCCATAATTAATAAGACGGGTGAATCAGCGGTTGGTTTCACATGTTTGATGAAATGCTGCAGCCACTGGACAAATATGTGTGATGTCATCCAACCGGTTGGAGAAGCCGTTCCCACACTTCCCGGCGGCGCGTTCTTTAACATGTAATCCTTATAATTTTTTCTGGGGAAGATTAACAAAGGTGGTACAGAATTTCCCATTGCATTAATGCAACCACACATGGTTACCAGTGTCCCCCTTTCACTAGATACGATGTGTCCCACTTGTTTTTGGCCTTTTTTGGCAATAACCTTTTGTGTTTCTTGGACAGTGGTAAGTGCTGTCTCATCGACGTTAAAAATTTGGTTGGGCCCAAATTCATGGTTTTTAAGGACTTCCTGAAGATTTTTAAAAAATCGTTCTACAACTGGTTTATTAAAGCCCATGGCTCTACCTAATGACGTAGCCTCAGCTAATCTTAGTGACAATTCTTTGCGACGTTTCATAAATGCATTGAACCATAATCTTCCTGCCATACCATTGTCTTCCCAAGATTTCGGAAATTTCTTCTTATTAGCAACTGCTAATTCATATGCCAACCTTCGTGCCGCTTTTGGAGGTAAGCCATGATGTAGTTGAGCCATTGTTTGAAGATATTCGCTTAATTCGCCTTCTTCGTCTGGAGAAAATACTTGATTAACCCAGTAATTTGGCGTTAATCTTGGAGCTCCTTCCAATACTGGTGAATTCCAATCAATTTCCTCTTGGTGCTCATCACACTTCTTAATATAGCGCCTCAGTGTAGTTCGAGGTATGTTGTATTTTAGTGCTGACGCTTTGACAGATAGTCCACTAATCTTGATATCTTTAAGGGCATCTACCATAGTGCTCCTCGGTATCTTGCCTATTTCAACGTTAGTTTTCTTACGACGAGGCATTTTGATCTGAAAAAATATGGTTGCAATCAGCGGAAAGGTATTTAGAAAGGTAGGTACAGTGGCCACTGTTATTTATAGAATAAAGCGGTGACCACTGTACCTGCATTGCCTTGTGGCCACTGTTCTAACAACCACATATTTTAAATATATAAATATTTTGAGATAATTTTCAAATGCTTTTAAAAACTTATTGGCAAAATAATTACTTACATGGACTGAGTATTCATTCACCACCAGCAATTATTCAAGAAACAAGTTGTTTGGACAAAAATAAAAATCTCGTGCATGCGTTGAAATTCACTTTTGCTATGAATTTTCAGGTTAGGTTCACTATACCGTTAAACACCAAAGGTGAAGTTTCCTGCTTTGTGCCCAGTTCTAGTACTTAATTTGCTAGTTTGTTCCTAGATGGCAGATATATAACTTGAAATATAACAAAGTTAGGGAAAGGTGGCCACTGTACCTATATGGCCACTGTTCCAGACTCTCCCCTACATCTCGAAAATCCATTTCACTCATTTCCGTCGGTCTGTCTATCTGTCCGCTAATCCTTGACCAGTGTATAACTTGGAAAAGGACGAAAAAGTTTTGTAGTCTTCGAAAATAGGTCTAGTCGTGGCGGAGAAAAAGGCCAAAGCTACAAAATAAACATCTCTCAAACCTGACGTTTTTTGACTTCCAGTTGATTCTGATCGTTTTGAAAAAGGCTTCAGAGTATCTCAAATTTTTTATGTTTGTATATTTATACGCTCCCAACCTCGGTATTTCTACGCACCTATTAGATATATTTCACACATCATAGATTTCCCTGTACATTTGTCCTTTAAAACTTCTCTTTCTGCTCTTGGAGAGTGTTCTGATATTACTGCCACGCTGCCGCGTCTGTCAGGCAGGGATATACACTACCCCGTCACAGGCAGGGCCTCCCAACCTAACCGTGTCAAACTACGTACATCCAGAACTGGCCGATACGACCGCTCCGTGGCCGATACGACCGCTCCATTGAACCTAGGCTGTCGAGATTGTGGAGCAATCTACAAGAGGATTCTTTTCTCAGTTTTACTTTTTTACTTTTTTTTACTTCAAAAATCGGATTGAAAAAGTTCCTTTGGGATCCTCATAGCAGCCGGGTGCTTCGATGTAAAAAGAACATTCTTTGTTGCTATAAATGATGAGCTTTTTCATTATTTACGCTCAAGGATAATTCCGTTATAAAATTTATCTATACAAATTTGTATTCAGCCTGAACCATTTTTGGCTGGACTATATCGTAGCAGGCGATTATTGTGGCAGACATCTAGACACTCTCGAAAATGAGAGTGACCATTACATAGATATTTATCTCGACTTCATACCAGATGCTGGGGCAGGAGCGTTGACCTTAAACTCACATAATACACATTCCGCCTTTGTAAACACTGGCGGTGTGATATTTGTTTGGATTGAATTATATTAGACCTTAGCATAATTACTTACTGTATTATTCTGTGCGTTTTGTGAAAATTATCACTTGAGAATTTGCTTATCATCAACGAGATTCAACAGGATTTTCAAGCTTCCTATACTACAAAATAGTTTAGCTCAAAGATATGTGTGAAATAAACAGTGGTTTTGCACCGGTTAGGGAAAGGGTGTCGTCTGAAAATACCTCCAGTGTAACATGTTTACACATCGCCATATTAAGTATGAAGCTTTCACCTCAATTCGGTATTATAGGGGGTGTTCAACCGGGTTGATTATATATCAAGTGATTTTTGTGAAAAAACTCGTTATTTAAATCAAACTTGATCTTTAGAGTAATAATAATTAAATCAGCTACATAAAGGAAAAATACTTATCAAATGCACAGTTTTCATTTAATGATGTAACTATGTTATTAAAGCAAACGTAATGAATAAGAAAGAAAATCAACAGCTATTTACTGTAATATTTAAAACGAATTCCAATTTCGCTGCCTTCTCATTTCCCAGCATATTTTAAAGTTTAGATAGCAGCAGAGCAAATGTAGAAAAAATCCTTCTATAGATTACAGATTACCGAAAAAAGGGGTTGGCTTGCCAGCCTTGTCATTGCGACCCACGTAGATCTATTGTGACCCCCTATATACTTTCTAAAGCACTGTGTTCAGCCTTGATCCTTTGATCAGATTCCATAGCCTTGACACAGGGCCTTGCTTGTAGCTTTCCGCTGTGAGACCTCTGGTTTCTACTATCTGAAACCGTAGCCTTGCCAGGCCTTCACAGTGACACAGGGAATGCACTTGGGTTTCCACTATGACCCTTAGGGCCTTCCTATTGAATCCGAGTAGGTCCTCTGTGAATGCGTGCCTTCATTCTTTGATGAACCTTTGTCCCCTATTGGCTGTTCCACCATTCTAGGGACTTTTTCTTATGGACAGTTTGTTGCGTGTTCATTGTTCATATTTTAGTTTGTGATACGACTTACTTCTTAGTTTCTCTAACATTATAAAATGGTTATTACTCAAAAAATTGCCCTCGTATAATATTAAGAAAGGAGGTCACAGTTCCATATAATCATATTTGTCTATATTTGCCTGTGTATAATTGTGAAATATAGCGGCTTGTTATTAAGTTACAGTCTTACTAGTCAGAGCGAAAACCACGCATTCGTGGTAAACGTTTTCGATTGATTTTCATGAACACGTTTGCTGGATGCCTTTTAACATAAATTATGAGTTTGCCGGGCGGTAACCTGGTGTAAATATATTTATTTTAATACATTACAAAAAAATTATTTTCGTTCCAGACAAAGTTATTTTAGGTGTTATGGATCAATATGACTAAAAAAGCGCTCAGTAACTTTCCTCGAAGACTACTGTCCGATTGATCGATGACTCTTCTCTCACGGAAACTCTCGGGACCCTTTTGCACCAGCTGGGCGGTGGCGCTTTACTTCTCTTCTACTGCTACACCAACGGACTTTGCTCGTGATATGCCTGCCAGACAGACTGGCCTGACCTCGGCTTTCCGTCCTAACCGTGTCGAACTTCGTACATCCAGAACTAGCCGATATGACCGCTCCTTTGTCCCTGGGGTATCAAGATTGAGGAATAATCTACATGACAGGCTTTTCCCAGTTCTACTAATCGCAGGTAGTTCAAAAATCGGATATACAAATTTTCTCAAAGCTCCTCATAGCAGCCGCGGTGCCTTGGCATTTATGGCTCTGCCTGCGCGGCTGCTTTGGTTTAAAAAATTTAACAGTTATTCAAAATAAACTAACCTTAAATACTCGCCAGGTGTAGAGGAACGTTTGAAGTTCAATTTAGACTTAGCAGTCATAAAAATACTATTCAAAAAATATATTTCAGTGGTTCTTATGCTTTGAAATTGATGGCCGTTTTCCCACTTTTCAGACGTGAACTCGATAACGTCAACTTTAGACCAAAAATACAAATTTTTTCTGTAATTTGTATAAAAAAATTGCTTAAACCAGTGGTTCGACGTCCCGAAATCACATGATTTATGTTAAAGGGAATTGAACAAACATGATTATGAAAACAAGGTCGAGTTGGAATATTTATTCCAGGAATGCGAGGTTTTTGCGCTATCTATAAACATCCTATCGTGCCACCAGATATTTCCGGAATATAATGGAGGCACAGTGAATGGGGCGACCTTAAACTCGAAATGTCTTTGTGTAAACAAATAACGGATGCGAATGGTTCCGATCATAAAAAATCAAGTTATAATCCAGTCACTATATGAAATTTCATGTCATACGATGAAACATAGTCGAAACCCAGGGCGAAACACATTCACAATTAATTTTAACTGAGGTCTTTCACGGCAAAACTGTGACGTTACAGATTTACAATTCCCCGTTTTTACGGTTCTT